GCACGCACGCATGCATGCACGCACCGACGCACGCGGACGTGTGCACGTGAGAGTGAACTGTTGTCGGCATGCGCATGCCTACATGCGGACACATTGAAGGCGGCCCCAGGCACATGTGTGCCCGCGCACACTCACAAAGACACGCCTCTGGTACGGACAGCCGACAGTGGCGATGTCACGGGTGGGACAACTTTGGTCTCCGTCGCCATGTCAGGCACTGGGTTGCCAGGCTTTGGAGAACCTGTGACCAGTCGAATGCGTTGCTGTCATGCCGACGAACGTTTGTCTGCGTGCTCAAGCACCTCGAGTCAGCACTCAGACGCGCCGGCCTGCTCTCATTTGCCAATATGAGGTTGTGTTTCTGTGTGTGTGTGTGTGTGCGTAACCATGTCAGTTGGATGTGCATGCGTACATTGGTGAGTACCGAGATAACCGTCTCTTCGAGGGACGTACGTGCGAAGGGTTTCCGTTGCTGCCTCCCTTTCTCACTAGCTTGACGCTCTAGAGCAGAAGGAACGAGTTCGAGTCCGGGTTGGCCTCGCTGGAGGCCTTGAGGCAAGGAGCAGGTACCACGAGGTGGGATCCGGTTTTCAGATTGCAGCTGTGACGACCAACAGAGCCCGATGTTTGGTGTAGTTACCATCGCTTTTCGCCTATCCAACCCAACTTGGCCGTGGCGTGTGGGATATTTTGAAGAACGTACCAAATAGTGCGTCCTCCTTCCCTGTTGTTGTGTATTCGTACAAAATAGGCTCCTAAACTGTCGCAAAAGCTTCAATTAGGATTTCAGACAGCCTAGATTGCATAAGGTGATTGTTGAGTCCAGGATGAACTATAGTTATTATTCGAGATTTTCAGACCATCTCTCGATTAGCTTACTTTTATTCGTATTGAAGAGGCTTCGAGACTATCGGTCGCATAAATTGATGCCTTTTCCACAATCAAACGAGAAAGCTCCCGATTCCATTTCATTTTCACGTGAACTGACATCATCTAAAAGGTATTGTGGA